CCCTCCCCCTCTTCCCCCTCCTCCTTCCCCTCCTCCTCCCCAGTCCCCTTTGTTCTCAACACTTTCACTTCTACTTTCATTTCATATATGCATACATGATTTTATGTATCTATAAAATCTAGGAATCGAATATGAAAGAAAACATGTAATAATTATCTTTCTGAGCTGCCTTCCTATGGCTGTCTCCAACTGCATCTGTTTCTCTACAAATTACATAACATTGTTTTTCTTTGTAGCTGAAAAACGTTCTGTTGTGTATCTATCCAGCCTTGTCTTGACCCTTCCCTCTGTTGAGGGACACCTTGGCTGAGTCCATAACGTAGCTGTTGTGAATGATGCTGCAGAGTTTCTCTGTGATGTAGTGACTGGGAGTCCTTCGGGTAAACACCCAGGTACTGCTGGCTCGCGTAGGAGATCCACTTGTAGTTTTTAGGGAACCCACTGTGTTGACTTCCATCACGGCTGGACTAGTGTATACCCTTCCAGTGGTATATAAGGCTTTCTTTATGCCACATCCTCACCTGCATTCATCTTACTTGTTTTCCTAATGACTGAGATTCTAACTGGGGTGAGATAGAATCCCAACATACTTTTAATTTGGACTTCTGTGAGAGTTAGTGAAGCTGAACTCTTTTTTATGTGTTTAATGGCATTTGAGTTTCTCTTCCAGGAACTAACTGTTCATCTCGTGATCCCATGTATTGGTTGGGTTGCTTGCATTCCTGTGGTTGAGGTTTTTTTTTTTTTCAGTTCTTGATACATTTTATATTTCCATCTTCTGTCAGATGTATGGCTGGCAACGATTGTCTCTCAGACTGTTTCTTCACTCCGTTAACCATAGCCTTGACTGTGCAGAAGCTTCTTAATTTCACAAGGTTCCATTTGTTGACTGCTGGCATTATTTCCCGAGACAGTGTAGGTCTGAACATGGCAACAAAAGAGATACTGCTACCAAAGTCCTGTGACCTTGTGTGGTGCAGACAGTCAGAATAACAGGGAAGAGTGCAGACAGGCTGTCCCGGTCTCTCCCTCTTCTGGTGGCCTTTGTGTGATTTTCTTGGCAGGCCTTCCCCTGATGTTTTTCAGAAATAGCTTGGTAGTTTGGGAAGATTGCAGACAACCATCATTTCCCAGAGACTGAACCGTGGTTAGCTCCTGACCCGCTGTTCCCATTGACCGGCCGGGGAGGGAATGTCTATGCCTGCAGTTTCCCAGATCAAATTGTGTGGAATTCTGGGAGCCTGACAGGACAGATGGATGGGAGGTGGGGAACCAAGCAGTTTCTAGGGACCAAGAGTGAGGTTAACGGTGGACAATCAGGTCTCTCTGACTGAAAAGGCTCATCTGGCTGACAGATAAGGAACAAATGTCTCTTCAAGTCCATGTGTGGAACAAATGGATACTAGGAATCATCTGAGCAGAAAGGAAGAATCCTCCTTGGGAACTGTGTGAGCACTTAAATGTGGCTAGTTCAAGGTGAGGTGTGTAAAAAATAGAGGACTTCAAAGTTTAGAACTAATGAGGAATTGATCACTTTTTATGCTTAGTTTGAAATGACAATAATTGAGATGCTTGGGGTTAAATAACAGTTATCAAAATTAATTTTATCTGTTGCTATTGCTTTTCTGAATATACTTATAGGAAAGAAATTATTTTGAGAAAGGGTATCCCTTGGCTATGTAGTCAAGGCTGGATCCAAACTTGTGGAAATTCCCCTGCCTCAACCTCATAAGTGATAGAATTATAGATATAAGCTATGATGCCTAACTGAAAGACTTTAAATTACATGTACAGTTCACATTCTATTTTGATTTTTATTGGGCACTGCAGCTTCTGAACTTCACACAGAATTTTCTTTCGCCCCTATTTTTGACTGCAGAAATGATTTCTCCCTCAACTTTGTGACATAACTACAAGGAGAGGATTAATTAGCACTTTTCTGCCCAGGCATTTTGCTCTAGGGCAGTGGTTCTCAACCTTCCTGATGCTGTGACCCCTTAACATAGTTCTCCATGTTATAGTGACTCCCAACCATAAAGTTATATTCATTGCTACTTCATAAATGTAATTTTGTTACTCTGACTAATGTAAATATCTGTGTTTTCCAATGGCCTTAGTAACCCCTGTAAAAAGATCATTGGACCCCAAAGTGGTCCTGACCCACGGACTGAACTGAGATTTGGTGTCAAACAACCCACAGATTGAGAACCATTGCTCTAGTGACTCACTTAGCACTCACACCTGCCTGGGCACAGACAGCCCCTGCTGGACTTCCTGGTCTGTATCAACGGCCCTCTCTCCAGAGGCCTGACCTGATGACATCTACCTGTCCCATGGTCTTTTCAGCTCTTGCTTCTTCTTTCTGAGCTCTCAAACTTAAGAAGGGGTTACATCCTTATAAACTTACTGTGAGCTGAACCCTAGCATACCAAACACTACAGCTTAGCAGAGAGCCTGGTACCCACTCTCCTGATCCTGTGGGTACCCAGCGGCTGTGGCCTTCTGCCCGGCAGTATGACAAGACTATCGTATGAGATATCACTGGTCTAGAAGAAGATTAAAATTCAAATGTTGAAGTTT